AAAAATAAAAAGAACCAGCTTCCAAGCAGTTGTCTGAATCCTTGCACTGGAGTTCTCCCAGCAGGAAAATCGAACCCTCACAAGAAAGGCATTTGCCAGCCTTTCAACACTAGAAATAAGGAGGAACTTTCTGTCAGCGAGAAGAATCAACCAATGGAACAGCTTGCCTTTGGAAGTTGTGGAAGCTTCATCACTTGAGACGTTCAAGAAGAGATTGGACTTTCATCTCTCAGAAATGGTGTAGGATCTCCTGCTTGGGCAGGGAGTTGGACTAGATGACCTATAATGTCCCTTCCAACTCTGTTAATCTAGTCTAACTTTTCACTATGGACCTTCCACCAAAGATTTGCAAAGTTACAAAGAGTGAAAACAGTCATAAAATCTCCCAGTGACCTGGTTCTCATCATGTTCTAACCTGTGACATGCTTAAACATGATTTGTTGAACAAAAGCTATGACTGCTTTGGATTACCTATCACAACAGGTTATAAACCATGGTTTGTATGCCCCAACAGCTGGCCTCACCCAATATGTTAAGTGAAAACCAAGGAACAATGGTTCTTGCCTTCTCCATTTGCAGTCTATTAAAATATCTTAAGGTTGTGCACACAAAGAGTTAGAAGACATCTGTGATTGTGGCTATATTGATGAAAAGATATTCTCTAATTGAGCAATGTTGGCAGTTGGCGCTTACCTTCACAGTTCCTGCCTGCCAGCCACTTGCACCCACTATACCACTCTATGGTGCACACAGAAACTACTGTAGCTGAAGCCAATTGTTTGGTTAAAAACTGAAGGCCTGAAGCTCACGATCTTCAACTATATTTTGACCCATCACAAGCCCAAAACATTACGTTGTGGCTTTGCTACTATGTGGAAATAAAATTCTTATTTAAAAATTAATAAAACAATTTAAAAAGTTGCTGTTTGGGGAGGAGGAAACATCTGCATTTGTTCAATTTGTTATTCATTTTGATGAGACAGTGGTGGTTCAACAGTTAAGATGCAGGGCTTGTCAGTTGGAGGTTTGAGACCCGAGCACCACGTGATGGGGTGAGCTCCCATCCTTGCTCCACCTCCGGCCAAACTAGCAGTTCGAAAGCATGCAAATTCAAGTAGATAAATAGGTATCATTTAGGTGGGAAGATAATGCTCCATGATGTCATGCTGGCCACATGACTGTGGAAATGTCTTTGAACTGTACTTGCTCAATATCCTTGATGAGCACCACCTCCTACAGTCGGCAATGACTAACAGAGTAATATCCGCAGAGACTCCTTTACCCATTTTTAACATTCATTTCAATGAAAAAAATGTTTCTTTTTGCCATTTCAAAGGAGATAAGAATTTAAGTGAAGTTCTGATATGTTCAGTGAATGTTTTCTTATAGTTATTTAGTTATGATGATGTGTCCAAAGGTTGTGGGGTCTGAATATCCTGTCTTTCCTGGTACCATCCTCCTCTCTCTAAGTGTTCTCTGCAGCCTCCTCACCTTCCATTCGATCCCTAAGAAAGCCATCACATAGAAATCCTCCCATGGAAATCTAACCTACTGAATCTACCATCTACGTATCATCTACCTTCCCAACATCTATCTACTTGCCATCCATCCACCTTTCTTTCTAAATGTTATTAAATGTTTTACAAAGAACATAAAAACTAACACAAGCTCTCATAAAGACTAAAGAAGTATTTTCAACCATGGAAATGTTCCTGATGAATGAGAAGCCAAGGAAACTATGATCCAACCTTGGCAACTTTGTGGACTTCACCTCCCAGAGTTCCTCAGCCAGCTTTGCTGGCTGAGGGACTCCGGGAGTTGAAATCCACAAGTCTTAAAGCTTTACTGGCTGAGGGACTCTGGGAGTTGAAGTCCACAAGTCTTAAAGTTGCCAAGGTTGGAGACCCCTGCTATGGAGTACAGGTAGTCTTCAACTTACAACAGTTCATTTAGTGACTGTTTGAAGTTGAAACCTCACTGGAAAAAAAGTGACATGACCATTTTTCACACTTACGTTTGTTGCCAGCATCTCCACGGTCACGTGATCAAAATTCACATGCTTGGCAACTGACTCATATTTATGATGGTTGCAGGGTGCCAGGGTCACGTGATCCCCTTTTGTGACCTTCTGACAAGTGAATGGAGAAGCCAGATTCACTTAGCAACTGTGTTACTAACTTAATGTCAGCGTTCCAGAAAAACGAACTCCAATAGCAAAAACTCCGAGATTCAGGTTTTTCCAGATGTGCCAGTATGACAGCTCAAATAAAAATGAGCCTTAACAACTTCAGCTATTTGAGCCTTGACCAGTGTGCCAAGAAAAGTCATAAAATGGGGGCAAAAATCATTTAACAACTGTCTTGCTTAGCAAGAGAAATTTTGGGTTCAATTGTCATAAGTCAAGGACTACCTGTAGTAGAAATGATTTTTAACAGAGGACAGTGCTATTGGGAAGAGTCAATGGCCATCTCCAACAATAAGCTAAATGGCATGCATAGCTAGCTAGCTAGCTAGCTAGATATAGATATATAGATATAGATATATAGATATATAGATATAGATATATAGATAGATATGCATGCCATTTAGCTTATAGTTTTCTTTATATATATATTATATATATAAAGATTGTATATATATTTATATATATACAACATTTATATATATATAACAAACTATAATACAAATATACCTGGAATTCATATTTTTAGAATAGTTTGATACACACACACACATACATATACATATGCATACATACACACACATACATATACATATGCATACAATACACACACATATATACACACACACATACACATATACATATACAATATACATACACACACACGCATATATGTGTGTGTGTATGTATGTATGTGTTTGTGTGTGTGTGTGTGTGTGTGTGTGTGTATAAATTAATTCTTCATGCCCTTGAGAATTGGCTTTAAAAAGCAGAAGCTTCTCCTATAAAGGAAGGAAACATTGAAAGAACTGAAATTGATTAGTCAACAAAGAAACAGTTGTGACAAAATCATTTCAGGTTTGGCAGACTTTCAAGTTTCTCTTACATTGCATAACTAGGAACTTCCTGGAAAGTTAGGCAAGAAGAGGATACAGCATGACACTTTTCTCAATCCTTTGACAGTTGTGGGCTCCTATTTTGGCCTTTTTTTTTTTTTTTTTTTTTTGGTCAAAAAGACAAACGGAGCGCTGTGTCATTTCACCCCAAATTCTGAAAATACAACAATGGGCAGAATTTGTGCTCCAACAACCAGACATTTTTTTATCAGATGCTTTCTCCTTGCTGGGCCATTCCTTCACCTCCATCCAATTCCTCCTCACCTCCATGATTCATACTATACCCTTTCTGACCTGCCACTGCTACCTCTGGGCTACTTATTTAGAACAGAACAGAACAAAAGTTGGAAAGGGACCTTGGAGGCTTTCTAGTCCAACCCCCTGCTCAAGCAGGGGATCTTATACAATTCCAGACAAGTGGTTGCCCAGTCTCTTAAAAACCTCCAGTGTTGATGAACCCACAACTTCTGGAGCTGATTAATGGTTTTCACAATTAGGAAATTTCTTCTTCGTTCTAGATTGCTTCTCTCTTTCAGTCATTTCCATCCATTGTTTCTTGTCATGCTTTTATTTTATTCTTTATTTTATTTACTTTATTTTTATTGTATTCGCCAATTTGAAAGTTTGCAGTTTTAAAAACAGTTTCACACTGTTTCTACCCCTCACTCCAATAAACTGCTGCAGTATTCTCTCTCATGAGCAGGAGGGATTTACAGGGGTGTCAAACTCAAGGCCCATGGGCCATGGAAACAGCGAATGATCAGCCCGCAGTACCTCTGCCAGCGAAAATGGAGCTTGGGAGGGCCACGTGCCCTGGCCACACCGACCCCAGCTACTCCCTCCCTGAGTCAGACATAAGCCTGAGGAGGCCCTCAATGAGGTCAGACATAAGCC